TTATTAAGGAACTCGGCTTAAAAAGAAGTTAAAAAACGAGCAATGGACTGAACAGTAACGAATGAACCCGAAAGAGAACAAAAATGAACCAGCTACAATAATGGGGAAATTTTAAATGAGAAGTTCCTCCTTCTAAAAATCAATGAAATCTGGATAAACCTGGAGGGCACGCTATGACTTAATACACTGCCAAGGGAGCAAGTATTTCTAAAAGTCATGCAAGCACGCTCTCACTCACACCTACACATGACACATATACTGTCTTATTCAATGCATAACTAACGTTCAGGTGTTATCCGGAACAATACACTTTTTTCTATATCCTAATGCTAAGTAACTGGTTACATTAAAAATATTAGCCACAAAATATGGGCCCATGTTAGAACGTGTAACTTGAAACACACAAAATGATTGAAGCCTTGAGGTGGCTTTCCATAAACAGAATGTTCGCTTAATTCAGCTTTAGCATTGGGGGGGGGGGGGGGGGAGGAGGGACGAGAGAACAAAGGAAAAGAGAGATTGTTGTTGGAACTAAAAAGGATTTGAATACAATGTAAACCACAAGGGTTACTAATAACACGCGAAGATTATGACGTTGAAGTCCACATATGGAAAAAAATATTCTCAAGCTTCCTTAGAAACATATTTTTTCTGAACTTCGTGAGTATTCAGTAAAGCCTTGAAATAATGTTAACGAATATATTGCATCCTGAACAAAAATATACCCGCCAGTTTAGTTTTATTCTTACCTGGCATGTGTGGGTAAATACATGTAAATATGTTCAACAAGGCTTTTAAATTATTTAAATGCGTCATTTCTCTATGTGAAAAATATACAATTTTTTTTAAGATAAAAGAGGGAAATTATCTAGGAAAGGAGCATTTCCCCTTTCAATTTAATGGAATTTAAAATTAATTTTGGCTTCGTTTAACTGATGGATTAGGAAATAATCATATTTAATCAGCTAAAATACAATATTATCTAGGGCCAAAAACAAGAACAATTTTTTCCCCCGAGAGAAAAGCGAATAGTTAACAGTGTTTTCAAATTTAGTTTTAACTTAAAAATACTGACCCAAACATTGAGCTAACCATTTACCTACTCAACCCCACTGAAGTTAATGCAGATACCCGGGATGTATGTCAGTGCAGAATGTGGCCCACTCTGTTTGAAGGATAACACCACAGATGCAAGGGGTTCATAGATGCATCTTTCATCTGCTTCATTGGATCCAGTTCCTTGCAAATTCATTACAGGGTTTGATACTCATCTCTACTTGAGCTTGGTGTCAGACCGATCGCTACTGGGTGGTTATCGTGTATAATAAGAATGTATGGTTTGCTTTTCCTATTTCTCACGGGGGGAGGGGGGAGGGAAAGAATCTATTATTGGTTGAATGAACGTCAAGGATGATCGCTTGTTCTGAGCTGGGCTCCCTCTCTGAACTGCTGGAAGTTTATGTCCTAAAGGCAAAATGTTTGCCTACAAGGAGGGAAACGCAGCAAACTGCAAAGAAGAACCCCTGTCAACATTTGCCAGAGTCCAAAAACTTTCCTAACAAAGACTCCCAATCGTCTCCGAGCCTTTTAGCCTTTATCAGCAGCAACGTATCACGGGCCAAAAGCAACTTTTTATTTCCCTCCCTCCCATCGTTATTCTAAATGTTAGGTTGAAAGTTGTATCAGAACAGCTGATCAACAGTAGGAGAGCACCTAATTATATTACCTAGCTATCTATTGAGGTAACCTTTGCCAATTTGCTCTGAGTCACGGTCTACCACGGAGACTCTAAGCACCCACTAATATTATTTACATTCTCATTTTCTGCGTTTAAAAAAAGTGTGCGGCTAGCAAATCCACTTCTTCCTTCCTAAACGAAATGAGGGAGAGCCATTTGCCTTAGCGTTGTAGTAACACCACCAGCGCCTTGTATGTATTACAACTGCGCGCGTGCACACACAAATCAATGGAAATACCCGATAAACTGATGGTGATGTTTTCATTTGCTAACATCCAATGCACAATCAGGTCACACAGCCCAAAGGAGCAGCACAGAACCGTCTGAAACATCAAATCCTGTTTTTTCCCCCTGTTTAAACGAAGAGGGGCTGCTAGGAACGCAACAAGGCAAAGTCCAACTATCTGTGACGCGTGAAGAATGAAATGTCTCTGATCTCTCCACCTGTGACCGTGCTCCTCAGCCCACGTGTGTCTTCACAACAAAAGAAGGCGGCAATTGATGAGTAAATAGTTAATAACAACAGCCTGCATCAGGCAGGCTCAGCTCACAGAAGCCAGCAACGCCAATTTTCAGAGAGACAGTGAGAGAAAGAGCATAGCCCTGTTCACCAGGCGTTGGTGCTTAGCCACTCATGGGGCAAGCGGGTCGTCTCTGTTAGAGTCCCTGGGCTGCTTTGACAGTAGGAGTAATTATCCGACGCTTGTTCAGACTCCCCCACCGACTAACCCCGCTCGCAATCCAACGGGTGATTAAACAATCAAAGCTAACACTGGTTTGCTGTGCTATTTATTCCCGCCTTCCCCTTAACATTTTATTTTTGCAGACCGCTGAGACAACAACTGAAGACTTTGGAACCTAGTTTTAACCAACTAAAACAATAACAATCACAAGCAACAGAGTCTAACAGACAAATGGCACGGGCAATTATCTCGGTACAGTCTATAATTAAGTTAATTAAATGGAAAAAGTCAAAGAAATTACCATACAGACAGCTCCATGGTAAACACAGTTTTGTTGCTGCTGCTGCCATGCTTCTGATCTGCTTTTAAAACAGAAAGAGCTGAAACGCTAGAGTGGAAATATCCCTCCGTTTTTAAGTAAGTCAGAGAATCTCTTCCTCCAGGGACTGATCTCAGCCTAGGCTACAAATATAAAAATATTTATGTCACGAAAGAATCGGCACCTGTTTGAAGCCTGGGGGTACTTAAACATCAAGCTACTCCCATCTAAAAATTAGTAAACGTCACTTTCTCAGTAATAAAGTTAACAAGCCTAGAAATTTTGCTATGCAACATTTTGTATCGCTTCTGATGGAGAAAAATAATTGGCAAACAGAGATTAGATTGTTGCTGTGCTTTACCACAAACAAAACCTTGTTATCTCAATTTCATCTTTATCGACTAAACTATATTGTGTAAATATATACACAATAGCTACTTAGAGCCAGTAAAGGGGGGGGGGAGAGTAAGCGTGTAGGAGGTTATATTAAATATATTCCAAACCACTTTTTTGCGAAAGAAAATCGAACCGTGTATTCGAGCTGTATATAACATTTTCTGAATTTTAGATTATTGCTTTGGAGAGGCGACCCAGAAGCCAAATAAAAAGATTTTACTGAAATTACCTTGTATTTATTTACAGTGTAATCTTTAACAATGCAACAGCAATTACTGCTAAGTGTTGCCTTTAGATAAGAACGGCTGATAGGAAACTGTATTATCTAAAGCAAACTTTAGGCCCTAAATATCTGTAATCAAATAATCGTTTTCCAAAGTCTGACTGACAGGGCGGCTCATTCTAAGCTAATGAATTTATTACATTTTCTTAGTTATTTACAAAGGGAGAAGGCGATCCTGAATGCCCCTAAGATCTAATTGTAAATTGACCAGAAGGCGAGATTCTTTATCTGACAAGGCATCACCCTCTGGAAGAGTCATCTACCCTGGTATTTTCTTCTGAGTTAAGAAAGAAAGAAATGGGGGTGGGAAAGAAAAAAATACGTAAGAACAACTCTCCCATACAAAGTCCTCCTAAAATAATTTTATTCAGAAGAGCAGCTAGTTATTTCCAACAAAGCAGCAACGTTCTTTATATTAAAAAAAAAAGAAAAAAGAAAAAGGAAAAAAAAGGCATAGCTTTGGGCTGAGGTTGGCAGGGAAGGGAAGAGATTTTTTTTTTTAAATAACGGCTTCATTTTATAAGACAAAGGATTAAAACTGTACTTTAAAACTGTATATTACATAACCTGTTTAGTGTGTGTATATATAATTATTAATTCTATAGAGCACAGATCTTTTATATTCTTTCATTACATTTAGAGATATATTATAGAATGTCTCCTATATAAAATCTGTACTATGTCGATTAGATACAAGTATGTGTGTGTGTATATATACACACACTACCCAGAGGGAAAATTGCATATATAGGAGACAGTATTTAAGATATCCCTATAAGCAATATAGGCATATATTAAATATAGAATATTGTGATACTATTATGTATGGTCAAATATTTCCCAGGTCCTGTCTAATCAGTGCTAAGAAAACGTGTTCGTTTATTTGCCATGTTACATCTGCCATGGGAAAGTATTTTTTTCTCCTAGCGGATAAAGCAAGCTGACTAAGTGGAACATATTGCAGAAGAGAGAGAAAAAGGCCGAGCTGGCAGTTTCTAAGCGGTCGCTGGGATTTGTGCGGAGGGGAACGAGTTGTTCCATCGCCAACGTTAGCCATGAAGTCTTTCATTTTAAAAAATGTATGAAAGTATCCAGACGTGTCAGGTATTCCAATTGAATGGTAATTTATTAATAAACAAACAATGCAATACCTCAGAATATTTTCAAGAAAAAAATCGATAGAATAAGATTAATACAGTTTCCCTTTTTATATGTAATGAAAAAGAAATCAACGTTTCAGGCAATTGTAATGTCCGTTTTCGGGGGGAAAACACTTTCTGGCGTTTGGTCCACAACATCCAACTACAAATTAAAAATAAATTACTATGTCGCAATTTACATTTTAAAACAAGTCCTTCGGGGTAGAGGGGGAGGAGCTTGTAATCTATACTGCATATTTTTATCCTCTTTTAAACACAGGGCATAATAATACCTTATGAGATGGGGGAGGGAGAGAGTATTTCTCAAAAGCAATAAAAAACTTACGTGTTATTTGGAGTAACACTGTCCTTTTAACAAACCAAGGCATGACTTATTTTTTTTTTTTTTTTTTTTTTTTTATTTTCAAAGTTTTTTTTTTTTTTTTTTTTTTTTTTTGGCTGTCTCTGTACAAACTATGTGAGAGTTCGCTCGCTGCTTGCAGGAGGCGGCTTGGTTTGTTAAAGAAAAGATCTAGTCCTTGCTTGAAGTTTGGCCTTTTTTCTGTATTGTTCGGGGTGGGGTGGGGGGCCCGCTGGGACCGGTTTTGGTCAGAACTTGCTGCAGTCATACACGAAAGCCCCTGAGGTGCGGTAGAGAGACTGGCCGGAGGGAAAGGCCATCTGACAGCTGCTGCTATTCCCGTTCACCGGCGAGTTATTCAAGCCCAGCCGCTGGGACTCGAACATCTCCCGCACCGCGTGGAAGTTCTGCTGCTGGCCGGGGTAGCCGGCGGCGCTGGCCAAGTGGCCCAGGTCTCCCGCCGCCGTGGCTTGGTTTAGGTACCAGGAGGCCAGGCGCCCTTGGTGCGCGTGGTGCCCCTCCTGGTGGCCGGCCGCCGTGCTCAAGCTGCCGTGGCTCAGCGAGGAGGCGCTGCTGCTGCTGGGCATGGTGTAGTCGGGCAAGGGGTCTTCCACCGGGCTGGCCCCGCTGCTGGCCAGGTGGCCGGCCCGCTCGCCTCCCCCAGCGGCGGCGGCCGCGGCGTACAGGCTCATGGCTTGCATGTTGCAGTGGTAGGTGCCCCCGGCCGCGGCCCCGCTGCCCGGGTTGGCGCCCTGGCTGCAGGGCGAGCTGTAGAGGGAGCTCTGGCCCGGGGAGTAGCTGCCGAGGGCCACCGAGGGGGGGATGCCGGTCCGGGACGAGGTGGCGGAGGAGGAGGCGGCGGAGGCGGCGAGGAGGCTGGAGCTGAGCTCGCCGGCGCCCTGAGGCGAACCCCGCAGGGAGGTCATGATGTTGTCCACGCTGAAGCCTTGGCTGTGGTGCGGCTGGTGCTGCGGGTCGGGCGCCTCCAGACTGAGCGAGCGGCTGGAGGGGAGGCTGCTGTGGGGGCTGCTGCCGCTGGACAGGCTGCTGCTGCTGTCCGGGCTCTCGATCTTGGGCACGGCGCTGCTGAGGGCCGCCGCTCCCCCGCCGGGAGGCGAGACGGCCTGCGGGGGAGACGAGGTGCCGTTCTCGGTCTTAATGTCCTGGATGCGGACCGGCGGCGGCTGCTGCGAGCCGGCCCCGCTCCCCGCCGCGCCCCCAGCCCCGCCGCTCTCCTGCTCGGCCTGCGGGTGCTGCCGGGGCTGGGGCTGCTCCTTGAGGTGCAGCCGGTCCTTCTCCTCCTTGTCCTTGACGGCGTCTTTCTTCTTGAAGCGCCGCCTCCGCCGCAGGAAGCTGCCGTTCTCGAACATGTTGTAGGAGTCCGGGTCCAGCGTCCAGTAGCTGCCCTTGCCGGGCTTCTTGTCGTCCCGGGGCACCTTGACGAAGCACTCGTTGAGCGAGAGGTTGTGGCGGATGCTGTTCTGCCAGCCCTGCTTGTTGTCCCGGTAGAAGGGGAAGCGCTCCATGATGAACTGGTAGATCCCGTTCAGGGTGATCTTCTTGTCCGGCGCGTTCTGGATGGCCATGGTGATGAGGGCGATGTAGCTGTAGGGGGGCTTCACCATATCCTTGGGCTGCGGCTGCGGGGTGTAAGGTCCGTAGGCTCTGGCCATGCCGGCCGGGTACTGCTCGTGGGCCGGGTGCGAATACATGCTCATAGGGGCCGGCATGGCGGTGTAGCCCCCTCCCGCTGCGGCCCGGTAATAGCTCTGCTCCCCGCCGAGGTAAGGCACGACTCCCAGGGAGTTGGGACTGGACACCGAGTAGCGAGCCTGCATGTCCTCCCGTCAGTTTCCCCCACCCTCCCCGCCGGACCAAACAACTTTCCCTCCCCCCCTCCCCCCCCCCCCAGCCCCTCCAGACCGAGTTCCAGCCGGCGATCAGTCACCCCCCGGCCTCGCACAAACGCAGAGGGGGGAAAAAAAAAGCCTCCTCTTCTTCGGCCGGTAAAAGGCACCAGCAAAAGCCCCGCACTCCACACCAGTACTCGCCGCGGAGAAAGCCACTTCCAAATGCCAAAATAAACGCCCTGGGCCGAGCGGCTCCCAGCGCCTGGTTCCACCGCGATCGGCAACAAGTTGTCTCTGCCCAGGAGGGGACAACAGTGGTTGTTTCTTTCTAAGGGGAATTTACAAATATCCACCTTCCCGGTCCACCGATGTCAACTTGGTTTTGGGTGGGTTTTTTTTTTTTCAGTCTCTTTTTCGGCCGCGGGCAGCTTTGGGAAGCATTGGAAAAACTTCTGAACTTTTGAGCATCCGTCACCAAGGCGAGGACTTTTTTACGCACTTACTGTTTTTTTTCTCCTCCGGCTGCGGAGCTCCGCCCTGCCTAGGCCGGGCGGCCAATGAGAAGGGAGAGCCGGGCTGTGAATGAGGAAGCGGGGGGGGACCCTGGAGCAGCAGCGGCCCCAAGGGTTCCAGCTTTGGGACTGGCCACACACACTCGCCCACAATCTCCCCCACACGCAAGTACCTATCGCTCTCCACGCATGCCACAGCCTTTCTCCCTCTCTCATACCCAGAGTAGAGCTCACGTACACCGGCCTGCAAATGCACACATTAAATACACACACACATTCCTATACAGGTCGTGCATTCATACCTATATATTTCTCTCAACACATTTGCCTAGTCCTATGTGCAGATGTACTGTCTCGGAGGACACAACTTTTCACATACACCTAGATATAGATGATTCCTCTGCACGCACTCTCACCCGCCTCTGCTCAGATATACACAGATATATGCTCCTCGCCTCTCCAACACCCTTCCTCCCCTTCTTACACATTTACCTTCTTCAGATATATCTGGATATAGACAACTTCCACACGTATATACGTGCTCAGAGCTCACTTGCTGCTCTCCATGGCAAAAGAAGATCGGTGTTACCCACCCACCCCCATCTTCACACCAGGCAGGATAAAGGGGAGAAGGGGGAGGGAGAAAGGGGATGGGGGAAAGAGAGAGAGACACACTCCTCACCAGCACCAGTCTCCTTACAGGCAGCTGCCTGACCAAACGTTTCTGAAGGGATTCCATTCTTCCATTTGACAAGCTTTTGACGAGTCCTGCAAAGCTCCTTTTTATTAATCAGCCACGAAGGGCTTTCCTCTGTCCGTTTGCAAAGAAAGCGCCTGCTGCCTGTGCTGTTTATAAACACGCAGACAGATGTCTTTGTACTTGTCTCTAACCGGCTTGTTCAGGTAATCTTTACAGACCTGCTGCGGTGTGATAGGCTAAGCCCCTTTTTCTGAGAGAGAGCTCGAGCGAGCATACTTTTGTATGAAAGATATTTCAGACCGCGGAATCAGTGGCATAACAGGTGTGTTGTTGACAAGAGAAAAATAAGTGTGTTCAAAATTGTTTAACGGTTCGACTATAAGGACTTAATTTCTGCCAAAACCAACTCTGTTTAAATGGCTGAAGTAATATTTGTGCTGTAAATAAATGTTTGGATTAACATTTAAAGTGGATTTAAGACTGAGGAGGATAATTTTTCTTACTTTTGAAAATTGTTAATGGAAATGAATAGTTTCTTGTGCGTTGAACAATGACAGCCGGTAAAGATACTGATTGGACTGAAATCCAATCCTACACCCCCTTTTTTTAGCCTGCTGCTTTTTACCTCTACAATCTCATTGCAGTTAATAGTGGGTCTGTTGATAGGAACAAGCTGAAGTGCAGACGTCTGGGAACTTGTTAAGGAAAAATGGTATTGAGTACGTGTGTTTTGTGAGAGATGAGTTTCACACTCCCTTGGGTTTGTGACAAACTTTCACTCTGAAGATGAGTCACAAGACCCTTTTGGCTCCATTGATTTTCTCACTTTTTACAGTGATTGCTTGCTCTCGAAACCACAACAGGTAGAAGAGACGTGAAGGTGTTAAGGGAACGTGATTTGCTTGGTAGTATTTTAAGTCAAACCTTTTCTCTCGAATAATGAATCAACTGGTAATTAAAACAAGTGATGGAAAAGGAAAAAAAAGTTGATATGTTCTTACCTTTCCTCCAGTTCATACTCAGATGTAACTGTTCTACTTTTGTAATAAACATAAGTCCTTTAATGGTGACTATATTATTCAGTTTTGCCTGTTGTGTTTGATCTTCTGGAATCCTTTCACCTGCTCCTGTCCAATTCTACATTTCCCCCAAATACTGACGAATTAATCGTCTCAGTGGCACTGTCCTATTCATTAGTTTCGATGTAGTTTCGACATTTTGTGTTTTCAAAATCTCTCACTTGCTTGACTAGAAAGAATAGCATTTTAACGCATATACATAGAACCCAGGTCATCCAGTGTTTCCCACGATTTTACCTGCAGTTAAAACGATTTCCACGTATTTCACATTCATTTCCACTAACCATTGTACTGTTGTGTCCAAAAAGCCTATCTTTCGGTGATTTATAAATTGAACAGGATACTGTGTACGTTTAATGCTCACGGTTCTGAAGTGAGATTATTATTATTTATTTTATTGGGATTATTTAATCCCGAATGTATTGCATCTAATATATTTTGCAATAGCTACGCTCTTACATTACTGTGAAGTGATGCAATAACTAATGTGTGTTAAATTACACATCTGAGAGCAGCAGCGCTGTGGTTCTCTACTTTAGGTACAAAAATTGCCTTTGTGAAACTAGTAACTGCCACGCGCAAACAGTTTTAGGAAAAACAGTTTTATAGAAGCAGAAAGATCAGTTTTCTGACTGGTTTAATTTTGGATACAATCCAGGAAAAGTAATTTGTGTTTGTGTTTTACATACTCAAGTGCAGGACAAGAATGAATTTCAGATGACTTGTTTATTTGTTATTTATTGTCGTACCCACCATGGCCTCTAGATGAAAGAGTAACATTTTGAGGTATGTTTTTGGTGTGGGACAGAAACGAAATCGTTTGAATAAGGTTAACAATCGTGTAAATTGTGGAACCAAAATCCCTCTTGGCATTAACTATTCAGCGTCCTTTTTAAAGCTGTGCAAAGGGCAGTGAAGCCATTGTGGGGGCGTTTGTTGCATTTGCTCTTAACCTTATTTATTTAGATGATGGAAAGATAATATCACAGCAACCCGGTGAAGGAATAACATTTAAAGTGATTAAAGCCAACAGGTGGATCCAAACAATTTGCTGAAGGGGTTCCTCTCTGCCCAAAGACCTAGAGGTGAAATGTTTTTCAGCCTGAGGCTATTTATGTTTATACCTACTCAGAGCTTCACCTCTCTCTCTCTCTCTCTTGGTTTTAACATCACGTCAGTATCCCTGCAATTCACACCTCTATCTCCCTACCAAATCCCGGTTCCTTGAATCTCAGGATAAGGATTTCCATCATGTTTCCCAAACGGTAGTGCAGTTCATTCTATGAGCTAAGATGTGAAAAAAATTATCTAAGTTATATCCTTTCGGGTGAAAATATACTGTGGTTCTGCAGCTGAAAACCTATTGTCCCAATTAAACCTGCTCAAATCGATCTATGTTGCTGCTAGGTAATTTCCTATTATTACAAATACATTATTTCTGATCTTTGCACAAAAAAATAACGCACGAGAACTCCAGAGAAAGTCTGTTTTAACGGCAAAGTAATCAAATCTAATGAGCGTTAGCTAATATGATTATTTTATTGCCCATCGTAAGCATGTAGCTACATAGTCTTTGAATCCAGGGGAAACTTTTTAGTTTATCATTTGAATTAAATAATAATGAAAAACCTCTTGCATCATTTGACTTTCTATTCTAGTTGAAGAAAAAGTGAATTTTCATTTTAGCTTGATGACAGTAATTGGTGACTTATTTCACAAAAGGAATAACTTGTATTTTAAATCTACACATTATATACAATTAATAATCTACAAAGAAAAATCGAGATCCTACATTGTTTTGCAAACGGTGCTTCCCATCTTTCCACAATAATTGTCTTGGCAAAATATTACTTGGGTTTCTATAAAAATATTGTTCTCTGTAGAATAGTTTGAGACTGAATGATGACATGAATAGATCATTAAAACACATAAAATGCCTATGGGATCCAGGATTTTTTAAATTTTTGATTTAATTATTTATTTAGCTATTAAAATGCAAGTCTAATAACTTCAAAAATGCAAGTTCCTAGGGGAAATAATAACCCAGTGAGTTTTCTAACCATTGGCATCTGCAAAGTGCTAATATCTGGGGGAAGATGAGAAATTACGTCTCTCCTAAAAAGATGAGAAATATCCAGGGCTGAATTTATCTCCTATTTCTCTTCAAGGTCCATCTCCTGTCTCTTTTGTACTCCCTTTCCTTCCTTGCTAACTTCCTTTCTCTGTCTCTCAGAAGCTCTAGGGAGAGGCAGAAGAGGTGGAGGGGGGCTGAATCCATTGGGTTCTCCGGCATCCAGTAACTGAACACACACATTGACAAGTAGCACGGAGCCATTGGGCTGCTGATGCTCTCCTCCCCTTATTGCGGGCAGGGGGTGGGGAAGGGAGAGACTTATTTGTTTCCAATGGTTTATTTACGTGAGAATGAAGCGACAGTTCCCCGCTGGTGAAGGCTGGGAGTGATAGGCGTTTAGTAAGTCAGTGGATAACAGGCAGGCAGTTCAGTGGTAGGCTACCAAAGAAAGCTTGCAGTCAGTCGCTGCTTATATTAGTCAATAGTCAGTGGGTTTATACACACACACACACACACAGAGTTTGGAAACGAATACTGCCTGATTTGTTTTAAAGCACCTCTGCTTCAGTAAGTCATGCCAAAGCAGGCAGGTCTCTCTCAGAGTTATTTGCTGGGGAAGCTGGACG